GGTGAATTGTCTGCTTGCTTTGCGCAACTGTGTTCACGCGGCGCTCTCCGACAGCCGGTTGCGCTCCGCCCACTGCGGGACGCGTGGGTGAAAAACGAATTTGAAATCGTGCTAAGACCTCGTTTTAAAATCAAATATTTGGCACCTTTATATTGGAAACATTTATCGTAGTGAGTTACCATACCAATACATAAATCAAAGCTACTAAATCAACTATCTATATAATGAGAGCAATGACAAATATTTGTGATGAGCTTATAAAAATAATTATTATATTTAAATATTTATTATGGAAGTTTTTATAAAATTTTAATCAAAATATCTTTATAATTAAATCAATTGAGTCTTGTAAAACTTTTAAAACTTTTTGAAGGAGTCGAACTTGAATTTTTTCTAATTCTTTTGCCTTGCCGTTGTGGAAGGGTTGAAATGTCCTGCAATTTTTTTACGTTTTGTTAAATAGCACGGAGATTGTATCAATTTCTTTAGCTTCTTTAACTACCAAATGCGAATGACGTACTATACAGTCGTTATTATGTATTTTGAATAAATAACAGGAGCGCTTCATATTGGAACCCCCATCACTTACCATACAGTGCACATTTTGTTTCAGAATTCCCTATTTTTCTTACATACTTTGTAATGTTTCCGAAATATAATCACCCATGTGACGTTCTTCAAGAAAAGCTTTCAAAGCGATACTTTTTCGTTGAAAATTTTTAGTAATACCATGACATGTTAAGGATAACAATGAAACTCCTGATGAAGATTCTGACCAGATATTTGATGTGAAAGAAACTTTCTCAAACTCTTCTAACATTTTTTATTTTTGATGACACTTTATCGTAATGTTCACTGCAAACAAGGTCCTTAAAATATTTTCTGCTTTTTAGAACATAATTTGGAACAATATGGTCCATCAATCGTTGGAACCCTAATTTTTCTACGTGTTGAAAAATTAAATCTATTAAAGCTAATATTTCAATAATCAAATAGTCAATTTTCATTGATTTGGGGTTTGTGAAATAAGTTTGTTGGTCTCTTCTAGCCGTTTGTTAAAATGTTCCCGGCTGTATATAATATATCGGCGGTACTCTTCTTAGCGGAGTCTTCTTTCAAGATGAATGAATCATATTCTTGAGGATGTTTCCTCTGTAGATGATTTTTTAAAGATGGTGTGCCTTTATTTTTACGGGAATACTTTCCGTCACAAATTTTACACTTCGCACATTCATCATTTATTATCATAAAATAATTGCAAATTACATTACTAAACTTCTTTGTAGACATTTTTACCTCATGTACCAATCACAAACGTTATCTATGGTGCCCTGTGTCACACTAAACTATACAATAGAAAAACAAAACAATAGAAAGACCCGCGCAATGCAAGTGAAACATGTACTGTCAAGCAAAGCGTCAACTGGCGTCAACTATCGTTTCAAGGTCGTGCGCACCGACACCGATTGAGTAGGAGAGATTAAGATCCGTATCTGTATCCTTATCCACGTATTTTTACCCCAAATATCCGCGGATATACATTTTTAACGATCCGGCACATCGCTGTTTATTCCCAGCATATTGTCTATGTCTATCTATCCATGTAACGAAATCTGTTATGGTGGAATGGTAATTTCACCAACTTGTAGACGGCCGATTGACTTGAAAATTTGAACTCGCATCAAAGACTGATGACAATACAATAATTTAATAACTTTATCCTAGTATCGTGATCAGGATCACCAGAATAAAATAAAATAATTTTATATTTATTTTATGACTGATCAAGTTATTCTCTCTAGAATCATTACAGCTCATGATCAATGCGTGTTTTTAAAGTTTTCTTAAATTTTAACATTATTTATAAATGTGTCGCTGAAATTTAGTTGTTTCGTACAACGTATTTTGTTTAACATAATTAACATATTGGTAATATTGTAAAGTGTATACACGGTGTAACTAAAGGGGAGAATCATCAGTAGCTGGGGGGAGAGGACCACAATACCTATTGATTTAATTATCCTCCCCTATATGTTATGCGATAATCAGTCGTTCAAAAGTTATTTGGACATTGGTAAAATTTCAGATTTTAGCCTAAACTTCGCAATTGCAGCCTATTAGGTCTTTTTCAAACAAGATAAACAGGCCTTATGTAGGGTCGATGCGCCGGGAAGCCGGCCGGGTCTAGATTTCGGCCTTTAGCACGAGGTGATGCAGTAAATTTGATTTAATAACAATTTTAATAAATATTATCGTACGACATAAAGTTTAATTCATTTGTAAATAGTTGCACTATATCTGGTAGCATTAATTAGTCAGGTAAACACAACACGCGATTTATAATAAATAGTTTAGTTCGACATCGGCACAGAAACTGTCAAAACGGGTAAGATCGAGCAAAAAAAAAAAAATAGTGGCGCGCGTTCCATTCAAAAGTAAGTGCTGTATTTAATACAATTACTTAATATTTTGCTTATATTTCAATGTATAAATAACCTTATACAGTTAATTGACACTGATTATTATAATACTTTATTGATAAAATGAATAAATTAAGTGGCCGAAATATGACACATAAAATTTTCCCATTAGTTGGTGTCGGCCATGCGGCTGAAAAGTAGCCTGAGTTTAGCCTAAATACTTTTTCTCTTTCGTTTATTTGGTTACGTACTATAATTCATCTTTCTTACTTATATTGAATCGTAGCGTGCGTAGACACTAACTTTCAGTTTTCGGCCACTAATTACTGCAATTTGAACAGTTAGTGACGAAACAAAAATACCCATTTCGGTGATGGCCGAAAACTGGATTGACCCTGAAATATTTATTTAGTTTTCGGCCAACTTAAAATTGTATGAAAGAATACGGCGGCGGAAAATAGAATGCTGTCTTAGTTTACGTTTATGGCCATTTCATCAAATATTTTATTCATATTGTGTTTTAGGAAGAAGATTCAACAGTAAATTTTTTTCTTCAGATGGCTCCTCCAAAGAAATGTGTGGATTACTCAAATTGAGTCCAGCAAACTGTGGAAAGACTAATCGGTGATAATTGAAAGAAAGAATAAATATTTCTAAAGACATAACTAACGCAGATCTAGTTTCCACTAGAAAAGTTTAGAAACATTTTAAATCAACTTAGGCAGAAAAAAAAACATAAAAATTGAAACGAAAGTCTTCTCAGATCAATATTATTACACACAGACAGGCCAACGAAGACTTGGAAATTCTCCAATTAAGCAATATAAGACCGCTAAGTCCATTTAAGTCACTAGAAAGTCTATGCAACAAAGATCAAGATAAAAATATTCTAACTCACGATTTGTGGTAACTATTTATTCATCTACCGATGCATCAGAATCGTTAATCGATAACAAAATTTCAACATTGCATTTGTCAGGAAGTTATTTGGATATTGGTTCCTAACTATCGTTATATGATGTTCTTGTAATCCAAACTCAAATAAACCTACCAACGACAACCCCTACAACAGTACTGACAATGCCTGAAATGATAATATATTTCAGTAATGAAACAATAACGACTCAAATGACTACGATGTAATGATACACTACAAACACCGACGATAACAAACAAGATCTCTGAAACTTTAGAAAATGTGTGCGTTGATATTCCAACTAAACAGACTAGACAGAATATAGAGACGCAATAGAAAAAACATTTATTTAAACCGTAACCCGCAAAAAAATTAACTGCTTACAGTACACGTGCACCTTCTGCAGCAATTTCATCTGCGGTGTGGCGAAAATTTTATGAAGATAAGTAAAAATTAAAATAGAGAAGTAAGAACTAAAATATTTTGAAAAAGAAAAAAATTTAAAAAAGAAAAATTAAAGAGTGCTAAAGTTCAAATACGAAAAATAGCTAAATCCAAGAAATCTATGAAGGAGAAAAGTGTAAGAGTAAATTGCGCTTTGTGTCATAATATTTTAATAAACGATACAGAAGACGATCTGGAAAAAATATTGGATGTGATGTGAAAAAATCAATTAAAATTAAACGCGATAAAATCCGTAAAAGTAGTTTTAATCAATGTGTAGTGTTCACGTAAATATAAGAAATCATATTGGATGTGACTTTTGCACCAAATGGATTTGCGATGTACTGATGGTTAGAGATGGTAACAGATTTTGTTGAACTAAAATACTTATGACGAAGTACAAAATACTCGTAAATGAGAAGATTTGATTACTATATTTAAAAAGGTTTTTGTTATTAGATTATGATTCAAAGAAAAATGATTAATCATGGTTATTATTTTGTATCAAAAGCATCCCCAAAATGAAAAAAAAAATAACCTTACGGTTAAAAAATCGCAAGCACCGATTGAAAAAACTAAATACACTGATTTCCCAAACCTTTTTGTATTACCTCTTCTAATACAGTGGCCGAAAACTAAAATTCTTGTGGGCCGAAATCTAAAATTTGGGGCCGAAAACTAGCGTTTTGCATATTTTTCAGTACTTAAATGTTCAAAATGAGCTCCATCCTTAGTGATACATAAGCCTACATCTTTTTGAAACTTTACTGGATGTATGCTATTACTGTGTGAATATTTCTGATGGGTTGTCATTTTTATGTTGATTTATTATTTATGTCACTGTAATGAATGTAAGAAATTATAATTTTTCATAGAGATGATTAATTTCGTTATTGGTTTTTTATGTGTATACAATTTATGAAAACTACCTCTGTCCTGTTTCTGTGTCATTCTGTGAGAAATGTAGGTATTCAACAATTCTATAACTGGCACTAACCTTCTTAAATTAATGTTTGCTTAGGCATATAAAATAATTACAATGTTTAATTCATTCGTTTTGAAATTACGTATGATTACTTGTATCGAATTAATAATTCAAAATATTTTAATACTTAATTAATAAAACGGGACTAAGAAATCTTCTTAACTTTTGTTTTTTGAACTCAATATCTTTCTGGTTCAAGTACGATGAAAATTTAACATAATAAGTGTCGACTACAATGAAACGTAAACATGTGATCACAAGTACGTAAAACAACAGAATAAATAATAGTACCAACTACGGTAAAACTACAAAGAAAATCGATAAAGTTAAATAATGTGCTATTCTTAGTCATATATTATGTAAACTTGACGTCAGAATTCCATATCTACAAAATAAAATTAATAAAGTATTATATTATTATATAGAGCCGTGGTAGCTCAGATGGTTAACGCTCGCTGTAAATATAGCAGAACGCGAGTAACCCGGGTTCGATCCCCGCCGGCACCAATGAAATTGTTAATTGCAATTTTAAGTGCTGATTTACCACGTGCTCGGCGGTGAAGGAAAACATCGTGAGGAAACCCGCATGTCGAGGAATAAGAAAAAAAATATTTCGGAGACATGAGAAGTTCGCCAACACGCATTAGGGCAGCGCGGCGGACTTTTCCTTGCCCTAAAACCCTCTCAGAAATGAGGGAGGGCCTGTGCCCAGCAGTGGGACGTATATAGGCTGTAACTTTATTTTACTTTACTATTATATTGTGCACTAAAACACGGGTGCACATCATATTTAATAAAGAGACCAAAGATTAAAATTTAATAAATTTTTTATTTTAGTAAAATGGTATGAGTCTGTGAACATGTTCAAGATCGTCATTATATCAGATTTGTTAAACCACAAACCCTCGCAAAAGAACACCGATTCCTACCAAGGATGTTACGTTAAATCAAAAACTGAAGGCAGCCGGGCTAACTGTGATATTGAGACTTCAAACATCTCAACCCCCCGGTTGTCTCCCCCTCCTCCTCCCCCCTGGTGACCGTGGGTGCTTTAAAGCGCCCGGAACATCGGGAATAAAAAATAAAAATAATTTTATAAACCGGGGGATTAGTCGCTCGCGTCCGTAGGCTCTGACCACCTATTCCTAGGCCCACCCTACACGTGTCCCCCGGGTGGTGCTAAATGAGCGACAAGCCGATAGCACAGACTCGGCTCCACGCCCTGGTAGAGGCGTAAAATATACCACCCTTTATCCGCACCATGAGGAACAATATAATAGAAATGGCCCCGAGTTCCCGGCGCCCCTTTAATGGGGCAGGGGTGCGAAGAATCTCCGGGAGGAAAACCGGCGACGAGGTTCGCCACCCGTCACGTTCTGTCTCCCGGAGAGGCGAAAAGTGGATTGCAGAGGTCCGTCTGGCTACGTTGAATGTATGTGGGGCAATGAATGATAAAATGGATGAAGTATGCGATATGATGAATGATAGAGGAATAGATGTGTTATGTGTAAATGAGACGAAAAGGAAGGGAAAGGATGTCACTACACATGGCATGTATACCGCATACTGGTCTGGTGTAGACGAGATCGAGCGGGCATGCCAGGGAGTAGGTATCATCCTTTCAGAAAGAATGGGCCAATGTGTGAAAGAGTATGAATGTGTAAGCCCAAGACTGCTGTGGATACGAATGAAAGTGGGCTTAAAGAAGTTGTTTGTGTTAGGGGTCTACGCCCCAGACATGTCTAAGCCCACTTATATCCGAGAGCAGTTTTGGGAAATGGTAAGGATGGTGTTAATGGAGTGTAAGGGAAATGAAAATATTATTATGCTAGGAGATTTTAATGGAAGGGTTGGGGTGAGGAGGCTTGGTTATGAAAGGATATTGGGAACGTTTGGTGATGAAAGTATAAATGAGAATGGTGAAAGTCTCCTCACCGTATGTATGGAAAAGAATCTTTTTGTGACGAACACTTGCTTTCGCCACAAGAGGATTCACATGTATACTTGGGAAAGAGGTGACGATAGAAGCATGATAGATTTAATAATTGTGGATGAAAGATTGAGGGGCGCAGTTGTAGATACAAGGGTTTACCGGGGTTCTAACGTAGGAACGGATCATTATTTGGTTCTATGCCGAATTAATGGTCTATTCAGGCGTTGGCGCCATCGGTCATCTGTGTCTACCACTGCGTTACAGCGTATTAGAACAGAAAGGTTACAAGATGAAGGTGAGAAAAAGAAGTTCAAATGTAGACTGAAAGAAAATATAAGTGGTTTGGATGAATTATGTATGAAGGAGTTAGACTTGGAGAATGTATGGCAAAATGTAAAGAAAGGTTTAGTGGATGCAGCTACCGAAGTATGTGGTGTTAGTAAGAGAAAGAATGAAAGGAAAAATAATACGTTATGGTGGGATGATGAGGTACGTATGGAAGTTGAAGCAAAGAAGAGAGCATGGTTAGATTTACTAGCAACAAAGGCTGGTAATTCTAGCGGTACGAATGATGATATTGAAAGAAAAAAGGCAGTCTTTAGACATCTTAATAAGAGAGTAAAAGAAGTAGTTGAAAGAAAAAAGCAAGAAAGAACGGATAAGAATGATAGAAGAATATCGGATAATTTCCAGGCAAATATTAAAATGTTCTGGAAACTTGTAAGAACTGCCAGGGGACATTCAAAACAGCCTATGATGAATGCTATAAGAGACGAGAATGGCTATATTCTGAATGATGAAGTTTTGAGTTTAAAGAGATGGAAGGAATATTTTGAAAGCGTGTTTATGAGTGAGGAGACAACGTGTGTACTAAGTGAAGTAGAAATTCCGAAGGAAGAGGAAAGAGGTAGCGAGATTAGTGTAGGTGAAATAATGAAAGCAATGAAAAGCATGAAAGCAGGTAAGGCTGCCGGATATGATAGAGTTTCACTCGAAATGCTAAGGGCTGGAGAGGAAGTGGTGGCAGGCCTGCTGCACACCTTGTTTAATTTATGCTGGGAACTGAAGCGGGTACCGGTAGACTGGTGCAAAGCCGTGATAGTCCCAGTATATAAGGGAAAAGGGTCGCAGCAGGACTGTAAAAACTACCGTGGCATCAGCCTTCTTAGCATTGTGGGAAAACTGTATGCTAAGGTACTGATTGAAAGGGTCATGAAAGAAACTGATGGAAAAATTTGGGATGTGCAAGCAGGATTTAGAAAGGGAATGGGATGTACAGATCAAGTCTTTTCCATGCGCATGATCGCGGAGAAGTTTTTGGCCAAAAACCAAAAGGTTTTTTGTGCGTTCATGGACTTGGAAAAGGCCTATGACAGAGTGAATAGGGATGTGCTATGGCAAACACTGAACTCATTTGGGTTGAGCGCTGGCTTGGTACGGGCATTGGAGTCCCTTTATAGGGACTCTAGTGCTTGTGTTAGGATCAACGGGGTCTACTCGGACTGGTTTGACATCCATAAAGGTGTCAGACAGGGCTGTGTAGCTTCCCCGTGGCTGTTCAACCTATTTATGGACAGTTGTTTGCAAAATTTGAAAGTTGAAGAATGCGGATTAAGAATGGGTGAGTTAACCGTCAAATGCCTTTTGTACGCCGATGATCAAGTTATACTTGCGTCGTCGGCGGCCGAGTTGCAAATGATGGTTACATTAATGAACAGATCATTAAAAGAAAGGGGTATGAAAGTGAACGCAAGTAAGACGAAGGTTATGGTTTTTGAAAGAGAAGAAAGTAAAACGATTTGTGAAATAAGAATAGAAGGGGAGTTGATCGAGCAAGTAGACGAGTTTGTATATTTGGGCTGCGTATTTAGCAGGGATGGGAGATATGATAAGGATATAGAACGACGAGTGAATGCGGGAAATAGAGTAAATGGGGCCCTGCACTCTATTGTGAAGAGTCAAAATGTGTCGAAAAAGGCACGTATGGCAATTCACAATGCTGTGTTGGTCCCTACTTTAACATATGGTAGTGAAAGTTGGGTGTGGCAGAAGAAGCACGAGAGTAGAATGAACGCAGTAGAAATGCGGTCGTTAAGGAGTATGTTAGGGCTGAATCTTAATGACAGGGTAAGAAATTGTGTAATAAGAGAAGAGTGTGGTTTGCAAGATGATGTTGTGACCAGGATTAAGAAAGGAATGCTTCGGTGGTTTGGTCATGTGGAAAGAATGAATGAGGAAAGAGTGACAAAGAAAATTTATGTTGCAGAAGTGAATGGCAGAGTCGGAAAGGGACGTCCTAGGCGAAAATTTATCGACCAAATTGGCGATTTATTGAAAACGGGCCAAATTAGGAGTACCCTTAACCGACGAGCATGTATGCGGAGGTGTATGGATGTGAAGGAGGCGAGAGAGGTGTGTCAGGATCGTGCCAAATGGAAGTCTGTAGTCTCTGCCTACCCCTCTGGGTGACAGGCGTGAGTGTTTATGTTATGTTATGTTATGTTTATTAACCGCGATAGTATCCGTATAAATAGTTTTATTCAATGGTATGCGACCATCGTGTTTTAGTTCAACTTACAATACTTTAAATATTGAATATTGCGATGTCTTACTGTGATTTCAAGCCAAATAAGTAATCGCTTCTATTTTCTATATTATTTATTTTTGGTCACTACTTGTCTGCGGCATCGCCGGTCGTGGGATTACAACCTTGTCTTCAAGGTGTCAAGTAATTATTGCCTTTAGAATTTGGATATATGTTTCGTAGTTGCCTCGTATCTCTTACTCACGCCAGTCCCATTGAAAAACGTTAAATTGCATATGATTGGTGAGATCGTCTGAGTGCAAGCACTACTTGCGCTCATACTGATGATGTTACTCGTATCTTACGTAATACGTGGTTGTTAGCTTTTAGCTAGATTGTCGGAAAACGTGGCATGATTGCATAATATATATGTATAATATGTATTATTTTTATGTGTACATAAGTGCATTATTTTTACATGTATTCAGTTATACGCTTGTATATAAACTTTCTGTACTTACACCTTCCCCTTTTATCACTGCACAACTGTAAGGTAGACTGGTAGAAAATGACTCAGGCATTAAGTCCGCCTATATCCATTACAGTGTATAGTATATGATGTGGAATAAATAAATAAATATGGTAATGTTGATACTAAATGTAGTTATTACATTGACTTACCTAGGTGAAAATGTATATGGGACCTTTTTTCCGTTTGTTATCGACGAACTTAGGCTCAACTTGTTTGAAATAAAGTTTCTCAAGTGAAGAAGATTGACTGAACTAAAATACATACCTAATTG